TATGATTTGTTTTTTGGGTCATACATTTCCATTTTTGGAGAGGATATAGGATCTACACAGCCAATAAAAAGTTCAGCAACTAAGTGACTTGCACCATATAATCATCATATTATATAAAAAAAATTTTTTTGATCAAAAATCTCCGACCCTTTTTTTCCTAGAGCTCCCCTCATATATAATAATATCTATTCATTTCACGATGATTTTTTTGTGATACCGCTAAAAATTATAATGTTAATAATAAAGCCTTTTCCTTATTGTATATGACTTTTTCGATAAAAACAACTATGAATGAGGAGAGTTTATTGTTTTTTATCAGTAATAATATCAAAATTCATATGTTACAGAACTTGAGATCCAAGATCGTCAAAATTTGTCTTATTTTACACTTTGAATGAGAGATCGCCAGACTGAAAGGTTTAATTTCTCATAATTGATGAAATATACTTTCCTCTTGGCGCTTGTGATTCTAATAAAGTTGCCTTATGGGGCGTTAATTGCAGGTGAAAAGCATTTTATTATCATATCATTGCCGAAGGCAGTCACGACTATTACTATGTTAATCTCTTTTTCTAGCAGGTTCCAGGTCAAGCGAATGAGACAAAATAAGCCGGATTTGCAAGGCGTCATTTTTTATATTTCCACAATTTTTCTAAGGTATGCATTATGAATGAATAAATTTTCGAGCCGGATTTAGTTACAACTTCACGTATATATTGATAATCTTGTTTTTCTTAGCATTCACGATGTCTACAAACATTTTTTCATATATGAGAGGGGAAATAAAAGACTTTAATACTTATCATAAGAATATCCGGGTAAAGATCGAAGGGTTGAATGAAGATATCGCGAGGGTTTTTCTTGTGGATGCGAATGATGATCAAATTGTAATTACAGAAAACATAGTTTTTATAAATGCAACGACTAAAAAAGAAATTTCAGCTGTAGACGTTAAGGGTAAAAAAAGTTATCTCATAACTTGGATACATAGCTACGAGTTATCTGTAGATGGCGAAAAAAATTTTATGCTAAGACAGCAGAAAGAGCAACGTGGTTCGTTTGGATTGGGGGATTATTTGGTATAGAAGTAACTAGATTTTTTTGTGTATTCGCATTATTATTATGTAATAGCGATACGTATTTTTTATTTCGTACAATAAAGCAAGGTTCTATGTAAGCATTCGTCTCGATCAGAGAAATTATGCAAATATTATGATCGACCAAGGTAATGGATCACCCATAGAAAAACAATTAATGTACGTTAAATATTGTACCTTATTTGATCGCTCATATTATTATGATTCATATTCCGAGATCGTCCATAGATAATAAATTAATTTCATACATCCAAAATATTACCCCAAAATTACTAATTTATCTAAAAAATAAGTGTGATTGAGTCGCGCTACAGACGCGCTAGATTTTTTCCTATATATTTATATGAAAAATGATATACTCACGCTACGGTCGTGCTAGAATTGTGTTAAAAAACCAAGTAGATCATTTCTAATAATCGAAAATCCAAATCTTGAGTTAGATATAAAATAAATTAATATATATGAGAGAAAATCAGTATGTGTCAGAGACACTAGCTCCGCTATAAATATATACCATTTTTTATATCTGTCCCTATTTCTATTAATTCTCATTTACATGATGTGGACCAATGAACAATTGCAATTATTAATAGATGAACGAAAAATTAGGAATGCCGAATACCACGATATTGTTGGTAGTAGTAGAGTAGATTTCTGGAATAGTATCGCAAATAAAATAAATGGATGATTTTGCACTACTTATACGGGTCATCAATGTAAGGATAAGTTTCGAAATCTTGTTAATAGCCATAATGTAAGTATAAGCAATCTCTGACCCATATGTACAAACCTCGGTATATTGATCATATTCCTATATCCAAAAATTATGAAATTCGTATTAGTCATTATTCAGTATATGGCTGGAAACAGATCAGGTCGAAGAACAAGAGTTGCTGAGAAATATTTTAATGAATTTCGTTCCCGCCTTTGGGAAAGACCAGGTAGGTTTACATCCTACGTTGAAAGTAATTAGCGATTCTAGTGAGGCCAATAATATATATATCAAGCACTTTTCACAAAATATCCCTACTCTATGCATTAGAAATGCAATTTGACCAAATCCATAATGCAATACCTCGGCTCGAAGAAGAGAAGAAAGCCAACGTAGTCGTACACCACCACCTTCATATGAAGAAGTTTCGTCAATGCTAGATTGTCGTGAAGTTTCTGCTACACATAGGGGGCGTTCAATGTCACCTAGTGGGAGATCTAATAATAGTAGAAGTCATAGTAATGTTAATCAAGGTATTGGCGGAGCCAGCACAGCTGAAACAAATAGACAAAACCCGGAGCCTCGTGCACCAACTTCCACTGAAAATAATCCAGATAATGATGGCGCAAATAATGAAATTAACGCCACAGGGAATAGTGATAATATGAGTATTGCGAATTAATACTCCAAGAAATAATGTTAGCAACGATTTAGAAAAATAATAAAAAAATATTATATTCCTTCTTGATTAAACGTAATTTCCAGTATATATGTTCACCCTTTTAATTGTATTCATATTGCCATAAAAGAAGAAGCACTATTATTTATGTCATATATATTTCAGTGTGAATTGAATTAAGAAGGAATTAAATTTTGATAATCCCTCTGCATAATCGATCAGATAATCATTAATGTGGCTGTGCAACGAAAATTATTTGAATAATTCGAATTACATACCACAGAATAAAATCGAAAGTCATGGAACTTCTGCATGCATGACGCAATTGTACGACCTGCTGACTGTTACTATAAATTCTAAATCTGATTAACTAACTCGTGCCATATGCATTTTCTTTGTGAAATATTTACTCTTGTCTCTGTAAAAAAATTTTTACCACCGCCTTTCGAACAACGTATCAATCAGGTGGGCTCGGTTTTCTCTTATTTAATGCCTGTGATAGAGAGCATAGCTTCTGTTAAGCAAGAAGGAAGCGCCTGCGACAGAGAGAAACTGTCGGAAGCCAGCAATGGCAAGTCATCATCCAGCGATGGCCGGCTGACTTCATTGCGCAGATTTTATGAGGGCTTGTTTGACACAAAAGGGCGCCTGCGACAGAGAGAAACTGTCGGAAGCAAGCAATTGCGAGTCATCATCCAGCGATGGCCGGCCCTATGTGAAGAACGGCCCAATTTATTGAATTTTTCATGTATTTTGTTTGATAAGATACTCAACTTGCTATTTTTTTGTACTCAAGAATGAAATCATCATCGTGCAAGTTAACTCGGAGAGAATGCAATATTAATTGGATGCTAGCTTGTCCTGATCCAACCCCAATCGCATTTTTTCGATATACATTTCCAGCACATAAAACTAAAGCGTCTGATAATTATCAGAAATCACTTGATCTGGCTTTGAATACGGCTAACAATCAGGAAATAAAAGATAAGCTCAAAATAATGAAAGAAACGGTGGATGTATGTAATTAAAAGTTTTTGCCATATTATAAAATACTTCTAACTGATTTCTTTTTTTGATAGGATGAAAAGATTCTGCGTGATTGGGAATCATGGATGCAAGAAAAAACAGCGGTATGTCCGTTTGCTGACTCTTTAGATAGTTTAACTTAATATTGATAAAATTCTGCATTACATAGATTCTTGTTCGTCGTGATGTACATAGTACCAATCTTAATCTTCACAAAGAGATAAACACGTTGTCATTAAACAAGGTAAGGTTATTACTATTCAGAAATAACTAAAGGACTTGCCATAAATATTAAACGATTATGAAAATTTTTATTACAGGACGAATCATTGGCAAAAAATACCAACTTAGGTATAAGTGAAGAAGATCAAGAAGATCAAGAAGATCAGGAAGAGGAAGATATAAACGAAATCGAAGAATTTTTTATAAGCAACGGTAATGACGACAAGGTTTATAAAGATGGTATCGATGATGACGACAGTTATAATAACTTCATAGAACATGGAGAAGAAAATCAACTAACTACTCATCGATCGTGGGTTCTCAAAAGTGGTACCAACGTTGGAGACGAGTTAGCAAAATATGTTAAGACAATTCCTGAGGCTCATAAATGTTTGAAGTAAGTTTTTTGAATTGGCGAAGGTCATAAAGTTAGTGATGATTATATTTAATATTAGAATTTCTTTATAGCCTCGCGTAGTGGAACATTCTCGATTTAACAGAAGACACCCAAATAAAACCTTTTTTTTCAACGGATGACTGGGAAGAAATAAATGAAAGCTTTAAAAAAGAAGTAAAATTAGTTGAATCGGACATACCAGATGTTGTTGAATATTTTTTCGATGAAGTGGAAAAGGTTGATGAAAGATCTATCTTGTTATAGCATTTTTTTAAAATGGCACTAACACTATATTTTTAGGTATCCAAAAAAAATGATGAATATATTATCAATGCGATTGATGATTTGACTCCGGAGATGATAGAAAAAAATAGAAAAGTCAAATTCAGTGATGAGGATAAGGAGATCTTTAATGGATTAAGACGTGCCGTTATTACCTAGTGAGTTAAATAAAATAATTATTTTCTTTTATTGGCATTTGATAGATTACAGCACATCACATAATTTTTATCTAAGTTTTCCAATCTTTTATCACAGTGCCGAAAATTTGAAGGATCTTGAAGTTCCCATATCAGAAGCCGACTTTGACAATTCATTTCCAAATATGTTAACAAAAAGATTTTAAACAAACGTGATCTCAAAATGGATGTGTAAGTACAAATAAGAATACAATGGGTAAATCTTTAAGTAGTAATTAATTTTTTTACAATTCTATAGCGGGGAAATTGCTTGTTGGGCTTCTGCCCGTCGAAGAAACAAGGGACGCTCAATAGTCCTCCAAGCACGCATAGGCCAAAAGTGCAATTTTCGGGGTACTTTGAAAAACAGCATTAATAACCTTGAAGCCATTATTGGCCTTAGAAGTGGTGGTCTCCCTGTTGCACATCGCAAAAAAATTCACGAGGATAGAGTGGATCTTTCCGTAGCAATGCGCGATGTTCTGTATAATTTTTTTAAAACAAATCCCAATGCATCTGGAAATGAGCTTCATAGTACATATGTTCTTGGAATTCAATCGTGGGGTAGGTAAAAATATATAATAATTAAATTTCGAATTTTGTGACTAACTCACTTTTATTCTCATGTTAAGGGTGGATCCACGAAACTTATGGCATGGACTGTAAGGCTACAAATGTATTACGCTTAGGAAGACTTTCTCAGAAAAAGATGCCCAATACTTTAAAAACGCTTGCAATTCTTGAAGGCCTTTATGCTACTATGTCGGACATCAAGGTAATATATGCTTACTATCGTTGCAGTTGGTACATACAAGATCTCACTATTATATTCATATTATTTCAGTCTACGTTGAAAATAATTTGTGATCACACAAATGGTGTCTCACTTTCTGACTCACGTTTACATAGAGAACGCAAAAGAAAAATTCCAGTTTACAGCGAGCAATCCGGATTGTTCGGTACACCTTCATCAAGTCCAATAAAGAAAGGTAAACGTGAAAATTATTGAAGTTAAAATAGATAATTGGGGCAATGCAAACTACGTACCAACTGTAACTGTTTAGTAAAACGTCATGCAATTATTGTAATAAAAATGCAAGTAATGTAATTGCTTAAAGTTTTAATTTCATTTTCAGAATATTAATTGAGACATCAAGAAATAATCCACAATCACAATACAATTTTTGCTAAGTATTACTGCATTTCGCGTATTCTTGTGCCGTTATTACCTAGTGAGTTAAATAAAATAATTATTTTCATTTATTAGCATTTGATAGATTACAGCACATCACATAATTTTTATCTAAGTTTTCCAATCTTTTATCACAGTGCCGAAAATTTGAAGGATCTTGAAGTTCCCATATCAGAAGCCGACTTTGACAATTCATTTCCAAATATGTTAACAAAAAGATTTTAAACAAACGTGATCTCAAAATGGATGTGTAAGTACAAATAAGAATACAATGGGTAAATCTTTAAGTAGTAATTAATTTTTTTACAATTCTATAGCGGGGAAATTGCTTGTTGGGCTTCTGCCCGTCGAAGAAACAAGGGACGCTCAATAGTCCTCCAAGCACGCATAGGCCAAAAGTGCAATTTTCGGGGTACTTTGAAAAACAGCATTAATAACCTTGAAGCCATTATTGGCCTTAGAAGTGGTGGTCTCCCTGTTGCACATCGCAAAAAAATTCACGAGGATAGAGTGGATCTTTCCGTAGCAATGCGCGATGTTCTGTATAATTTTTTTAAAACAAATCCCAATGCATCTGGAAATGAGCTTCATAGTACATATGTTCTTGGAATTCAATCGTGGGGTAGGTAAAAATATATAATAATTAAATTTCGAATTTTGTGACTAACTCACTTTTATTCTCATGTTAAGGGTGGATCCACGAAACTTATGGCATGGACTGTAAGGCTACAAATGTATTACGCTTAGGAAGACTTTCTCAGAAAAAGATGCCCAATACTTTAAAAACGCTTGCAATTCTTGAAGGCCTTTATGCTACTATGTCGGACATCAAGGTAATATATGCTTACTATCGTTGCAGTTGGTACATACAAGATCTCACTATTATATTCATATTATTTCAGTCTACGTTGAAAATAATTTGTGATCACACAAATGGTGTCTCACTTTCTGACTCACGTTTACATAGAGAACGCAAAAGAAAAATTCCAGTTTACAGCGAGCAATCCGGATTGTTCGGTACACCTTCATCAAGTCCAATAAAGAAAGGTAAACGTGAAAATTATTGAAGTTAAAATAGATAATTGGGGCAATGCAAACTACGTACCAACTGTAACTGTTTAGTAAAACGTCATGCAATTATTGTAATAAAAATGCAAGTAATGTAATTGCTTAAAGTTTTAATTTCATTTTCAGAATATTAATTGAGACATCAAGAAATAATCCACAATCACAATACAATTTTTGCTAAGTATTACTGCATTTCGCGTATTCTAGATAAGTGATTCACAATAAGACAATAAGAAGTATAATTCCGATGACAAAATGTCATGGTTTTTATCTATGATAATAAATAATATTTGAATAATTCACATTTGTATAAAAGTTATCGTTAAACATGCAATCCGAATTGATTTATTGAAACAGGAGAACGCCAGACTTATGGCTAGAATCAATGAATTGGAACAGATCGCGAAAGAAAAAGATGAGCTTGAGGTTAGAATTGTGGAATTAGAACGGACTACAAAGTTAAGTCAAACAGAAAACGCAGAGCTCAAGAATGAAATTGCAAAATTAAAACGAGCTGTTAAGAATATTGAAAAGCAAAATCGTCCAGTTACTAATCATTACCTAACAAGAGTTGCTCAAATGGTGAAAATGCGCAGATTAAAGATTCTTCAACTCACCACGAAGCAGATCAATCCATGACTAGCACTGACTTAGTAACTTCAGAACAGGTAGTTAACACAATTTCCAATACATCTAACCTTAATGAAACATGCTCCGGAAAATCTAAATCATTAGAAGATAAAGAAATTGATGTCTTTTTAGATTCGGAAAATAAGAAAAGGGTTAGTAATGAGATAAGGCAGAGGAATATGGGGAAAAGGCTATTTCATAGTAATGAAGTTCCTGCTTCTCAGGAAAGATTCTTCAACTCACCACGAAGCGGATCAATCCATGACTAGCACTGACTTAGTAACTTCAGAACAGGTAGTTAACACAATTTCCAATACATCTAACCTTAATGAAACATGCTCCGGAAAATCTAAATCATTAGAAGATAAAGAAATTGATGTCTTTTTAGATTCGGAAAATAAGAAAAGGGTTAGTAATGAGATAAGGCAGAGGAATATGGGGAAAAGGCTATTTCATAGTAATGAAGTTCCTGCTTCTCAGGATCAAGACCTATCTTTAGTTAATCAGGATGCTTCAACAGGATCTGAAAAAACAATAACATCCTTATCATTATGTGATGCAAAAACTGTGACAAAATGTCACGATCTTAACAATTCTGATACTACCTCCGAAATACTTGAATCAGACAATCAAATCGTAGAAGGTTTAATACAAGAGATGACCTATGATCAAGCAGAAAATATTGTTTCTTCCGAAATCAATCCTTTATATTCAAATAATGATGAGGATATGGCTCTGGATTCTGTGCAAAGTTTATCTGACTTATTTGATAAAGCAATCAAATCGGGTCAAAAACAAATTTTAAATTGGTATTATTATTCTCTTGAATTCGAAAATAAGGTTAAAAGTCTTATAGCGGATGGTAAGATTAAGGAAAAAACAGCGAGATCAAAAATATATAAAGAAATGA